TTCCACAGTATTTTTTCGACACATACCTGTCGAAATTTGGAGAATTTTCGACAAGTATGTGTCGAAATTTGTTTTTTTTTTTTTTTTTTTTTGTTTCGACACGTTGGTGTCGAAAATTGACCAAAAAATCGACCTGTATGTGTCGAAAATTGCCGGCGGGTTTAAAAAAAAAAAAACTTCAAAATCGACTTCGAAGCTCAAAAAAGACATCGATACTTACCTTAATGTGTTCTCCTTTCATATATACTACCATATTATTGTCTTATAACTCAATTTTATAAGTTTTGTGAGGTTTTAATTTCTTTAGTTTTGAGATTTTTTAAAAGGGTTTGTTGTGAGATTTTGTAGAAGGGTTTGTTGTGAGGAAGATTTTTTAGAAGGGTTTTTTGGGAGGGAGAAGAAGGAGGTGGAGGAGGTGAGGGGTTTGTGAGTAAGGAGGGAAATGGTTTTTTTGAGTTTTTGATTATTTGGTATTTAAGAAAGAAAAATAGTATTTGTAATATTTTTTTTGTTTTAATTCATTAAGGGTATTAAAGTAATTTACAATTAATTATTTATTTTTTATTTTTTTGGTATTCAAGTAAGCAAAAGTTGGGATTTGAAATAGTGATCCCCATTACTTATTAGTGTTTGGGGGAAAAATTATGAAAAAACCCCTGAGTTAAGAATTAATTACGAAAATCTCCCTCATATTTGTGTAATTACGAAAACACCCTTCAATTTTTAATTAAAACTAGTACTAGAAAATAAAGGAGCAGTGGCCCAAAAACAGCTGGAAGATGGCTTCATCCCCACACGCTATAGATTATATCTATATCACCACAACACATAAAACACACTACTGTGTGTGTGTGGGGGGGGGGGACCACATTAATTTGTTGTCACTGTTTTAAATGCATGTGAGGAAACAAACATCGTTTGTTTGTGGCCTCATTTCATTTCATTTTCCCCCCCAACCACTTTTTGCTTTCACCCCCCTTTGCTTTTAATTACTTTGTTTCTAATACAAATTCAGTAAATTAAATAATAAAATAAAAAATAAAAAAGAACAAAAATTGTTACTATCAAGAATTCAATAATAATAAATCGTTGGTTGTATTTTACAACTAAAGCCACTGATACGAAGCCATTTCGACACAAGGAAGGTGCGATTAGCAATTACTACATTCTTAGAGGGCGGGGCGGGGGAAAATAAAAATAATAATAATTAACTTAACATAAAAATTGAGTTTTTAATTTAATTATAAAATAAGGTCAAAACCAGTGGTTCACCCTTTCTGTAACGCAACTGGTCCGACACAAAAAAAAAAAACGGGGTTTCCCGTTCAAAACGACACCGTTTTGATTCAATCGGCCACAGCCCAAGTCATATCATTCTCGAAGATCCAGTGGCACACCTCAATCTTACCGGGTCCCGAACCCAGCAAGACGAACGACCCATGACCCGGGCTCCATGATGACGTGTCAAGGTGACAGATGGCAACACCGTGGTTGATCTTGGTTTTCGTATTCGGGTCAAGTATATCCGCTTCGTAGACCCGGACTTTCGGTACCGAATGGCAGTAGTACAGCAAGTACGGGTACAGGCTCTGGTGGCAGGAAACTGACCTCGTCACTTTCCCTCCGTTGACCCCTTTGACTTCCCCTAGCAGTATATCGCCGCCGTGCCCCGCCGTGTTCGCCGTCGTACGGACGACCACGTTCCGCCCCAGCACCGTCGTGGCGAAGTCGATCATGTCCTCGATCGAGGCCACGCACCGCTTCGTCTCGCCGGGGCTTGGCGCACGCTCGCACTCGTGGAGCGCGTCGGTCAGCATCTTCGCCATGGTCGAGTCGGCGTCGTCGCCGGCGTGGAAGATCTTCTTCATCTCGGCGAGTTTGGAGGTTGAGAAGGGTAGTTTGGAGACGATGGTCCGGGGCAGAAACGACCTTTTCGGCATTTTGTCGCGGATGTCGGGCATTGGCATGACGGTGCCGGTTTTCAGCATCGCCTCCCTGAAGAACTTCCCGGGCTCCACCACCCACTTATTTACCTTTCTGCCATTGACGGCGGCGAGAGAAGCTTCTTCCTCGGCTGAGGAGGTTTTGTTCTCGTAGGTGGAAAATGTGGCGGCGCCCTCCTTTGCGTACTCCTTGAAGGTGTTGTTGACGCCGTAAATCTTGAAGTCGACGGTTGGGCTATTGTTTGTGGAATCGTCTTTTTTGCCGTAGCCGGTGAATTTATCAGTGCCCTCATTGAACGATTTGCCGTAGTTGACGAAATCGATCTTCCCGGCGTTGGAATTCTTGCCGTAGGAATCGAAGTTGTCGTCACCAACATTGGCTTGTTCTCTGTAACCCTTGAAACTCTCCGTCGCTGAACTGCCGAGCGTGCCGTAATTCCTGAAATTATTTTGGGGGTTGTTTGTGTTGGTGCCGTACGAGGTGAATGTGTCGTTTGCGGCGTCCCCTTTCTCGCCGTAATTATTGAAAGTCGACCCCATTACGTTGGAGTCCTTGCCGTAGCCGGCGAATTCGTTGGTGGCGCCGACGCTTTTCTTGCCGTAGCTCGTGAACTTCTCGTCGCCGGCGTTGGCCTGATTCGTGTACTCGGTGAACGATTGTGAGTGGCCGGTGGTGCTGTCGGAGTACGCCGTGAAGCGGAGGTTGGGGACATTCACCTCGCTGTTGTACTTGGTGAACTCTCCTCCGCCGCCGGTGGCGGCGGTGCCGTAGCTGTTGAAGCTCTGGTCCGCCACATTGGCTTCCGTCGCGTATCCGGTGAACTTCTCGTTGTGGCCGACGCCGTCGCGGCTGTAGCGGCGGAACGAGTCGATGGGGAGATTCTCCCCTTCGGAGTAGCCGCTGAAAGCATCCACTCCGCCCGGCCGGCCGGTGCCGTAGTTGGTGAAGTTTTTGTTGCGGTAAGTCGCGAAGTTAACATCGCTGCTGTGCTTCTCGAGACTCGGCGTTAAATCAGGGAAGCAGAGAAGATCGGCCTTGGCGCAGAACTCAGGCAGCTGCGTCGATAGCGAGTTCTGATCGGCGGCGAGCTTCGAGAAGGCAGCGAATTGGGCGGCGTTGAGCGGCGACGCTTTGCTCAGCAAAAACTCCGGCTTGGGCAAATCATTCGAGATCTGCTTCTTCCAGTAACGTATTAGATAACCCTTGGGCGTGAACGGATTTTCTCCAGCCGCCGTCGAATCTCCGCCAGCAGCTACTCCCACCTGCATTCACACAACACAACAAATCAATAGCAGCACAGACATTCGACAAAATGCGCAAATGAGAAACTACATTTCCAACAAACAAAAAAAAAAAGAAAAAAAAAACAGAAAAGGTTGAAGAGTAATCTGGATTGAAGGATTACATTGAAAAATGTAGAAATGTACAAAACGAAGAAGAGGAGCAGGAGGGCGAGAGGAGGAGGAGCAGTGACGGTGGAGCGCATTTTTAGAGAGAGAAAGTAGTGTTAGAGAGAGAGAGAGAGAGAGAATATTGGTGGGTTGGTTTCTGGTTGGAGGAGCCAATATCTTTTATACTGTGTTTTTTTTAATGTGTGAGAGAGAGATTTGTGTGGCATTTTGAAAAGTGTAAATCATTGCTTCTATATTTATCCATTATTTTTTTATTTATTTTTCCTTCTCAAAATAATCAGATTTCGAATTTTAATGGTCAAACCAAATGGAGTAAAAATATATGGGCTGTAATCTGTATTACTTCCAATATTAATGTAATTGATTGATGATTAAACAATTAAAATTTGATTTTAGTTTTATATATGGGCTGTATTGTATCACTTCCAATATTAATATGTAATTGATTGATGATTAAACAGTTAAAATTTGATTTTAGTTTGAAAAACGAGTAACAAAAATTATGCGGTTTTAACGGAACATGGCGTTAATGTGACAGAATCGTGTGCCCTTTCTGTTAAATTCTTAACTTAAAAATATAATCAAGAAAAAGAAATATTACTATATTAAAATAGAGAAATTTAAATTTATGTTAAAAATAATATATATATATGTATATATGAATATACGAAAATTAAAAGATTTGGGGGTTGTGGTGGGTACAGTACTACCCAGGGTTGGGTTGGGTTTGGCTAACGCGTTTGGAAGGACACGTGGAGGACGACAATTGGAGGAGAGTGAAAGGCAAACGCGTTTTTTGAGCCTTGAGTGTTTTGTTTTATGCTGCGAATGTTTTTGTGTGCTGATGAAAGTTATATATTAATTACTATCTGCCATCTTCTTCTTCACACTCACCGCACTAATACTTTCTCTCTCTACAAATTAAATTAAATTAAATGAAAAAACAAAATTGTACGTATTTGGCTAGAGACAAAAGCCCGTGACCAAGGACCAAACCTAAAACCGTAATTTTCTAGCGGGTTGCAGGGGCATTATAGTCATTTCTCGAGGACCAACCAGTCAAATTATTTTTGTGGCTTTATTTCTTTTTGAACTTTAATTATTTTCCTTTTTGGTCAGTTGGGCACTGTTATTCTTGACATCCCTATTTCGTATGTTGGGAATGAAAGTGACAACCAAATACACTAAACTCCGTAACAAAATTAAATAAAATATAAACGCATTTGAAACTGTTCACTTCATTTATTAGTTTTCTCATTTAAACAAGTGGGATATTATTTTTATATTATTTTTTTATTTTATTTTCTATTTTACCTACTTAATTGGGCTTGGAGCCCAAGTAAAAACTTTTTCTGCAAAAGCCCAATTTGCATTTTCATTCAGAAGCCTGCCGAGAAAGACCTGTTAAATATTTAAAGGGTAAATTACGGCCCACCCCGATATTAACCCCTCATGTTTGGAAAGTTACAGTCACCTCCCCTCAACTTTGAATCTTCTTTCACGTTCATTCTCGTGGTATCAAATTTAGTGTAATATTCTAGATTATGTGAAATATTCTCCAGTTTGTACCTGTTTTACCCCATTCGAGCTCCACATTTTAAAACAAGATGATCATAAGATGTGTCTCTTGGCTTGTAAATATTAGATCGTGGTGCAATCAGAAACAAAATTTTGGCACAAAACGAATACAAACTAGATAATATTTCACGGAATCTAAAACATTCTGTAGAATTTGACACTTGACACTATAAGGATAAACGTGTGAAAAAAATCATAGTTGAATGGATGGTTGTATAATTATTCAAACATGTGGGGTTTTTTCATAATTTGACCTTACCACAAAGAGGTGGCTGTAATTTCCCAATTTTTAAATTCTGAAAAAAAAAAATCATATCAATTCTCAACTATAAAATATATAAGGTTTCATTATGTATAAGCTTTTAGCTCACTGTTTTACGATTTTGTAATATCCTACCAACTTTTACAATACAAATTTGGAAATTAAAAAAATAATAATTAGTGAAAAATCGAGTTGGAACACTGAGAAACGGACCCCTCTCGTGTCGGTTGATAGTGACCCGTTTTTTTTATAGTTGAACAGAAAAAGGTTTAGTACCCGTTTATTAATTGTAGTGATTAATTAAGGCCTAATGGTGGTGTCATCTATTTAATACTCTAGATTAATTAATCCACTTCTAATGTCACAAACTTTGATTAATTGATCTTTTTAAATGTCTTTCAATGGGCCATTATTAGACTTAAGTAGTTCTATTATCAACAACCTAATTGAAATTTGAATGTCAAATGTTAATTTAGTCCTTGTAGCTTTTATTATTTCAATCACATTTAATGATTTTTTAAGGGGTAATATGTGTGTGTACCAAATATTTGCACCCTTAAAATTATCTACAAACCCTACTTTCTTGAACATCGTCCGAAAGTCCACCTATTACTGGATTTTAGGTCGGCAACAATGAACAAAACGATATAATAATGGTAAAAGAGAGAAGGAAATCGAAATAAAGTATCAAAAAGTGTGTTGTTGATTGTGTAATAATGTAACACTAGTAATAGGGTTTGATAAATTTGCTTATGGCTCTATCTTAATTTACAACCACTATTTTCGTCTATGATTTATTATGATTGCTCAAGCAATGATTCTAATTTACAATATTTTCCCTTTATTTGGGGAAGTTATCTCTGAATCTCAACCTTTAACGGTCGTGAGACCAGCTCGCCATCTATTGTTGTGCCTTCCCTTAACGCTTCCGTCTGACGGAAAAATGGATGGAGATGATGTGTATGTTAAAAAATTAAACGTTTGTGGTGTATTTGTAAAAAGATCAAAGTTTAGGGGAGGTGGATGCAAATTATCCAATTTTTGAAAGATAAACACAAGCATTGAGATAACAGATAACGCAATCGCAATAATAACGTGAAGTGTAAACTGGCGCAATTAGTTTCATAGGACATGGGATATGACAATTTTGCTTGTTTTCATACTATAAATGCTTTCACATAATAATAATAATAATAATAATAATAATAATAATAATAATAATAATAATAATAATAATAATAATAATATTAATAATAATAATAATAATAATAATAATAATAATAATAATAATAATAATAATAATAATAATAATAATAATAATAATAATAATAATTAAAAAAAAAAAGAGTTGATTTCACATTTTGGTAATTCATCACTTAGATTGGCGGCGTTTATTGGGTAAATATGCCGTGGAAAAATCAAAGTAAAAAAAATATATCTAAATTCGATTTTATTTTTAATTCAAGCATTCGAGTTCCGTACAACTAAATTCTAGAGTGCAATAGTCTGTCTCAACTTCGTATTCAATTTAGATTCAAATGCAACAACAATTTATGCATATGTTTAAAGCGGACATTGAAGCCAAAACAATTATAAGTAAAGGTTTGTAACAACTTACTTCTCCAAATAAATTCACCCTCATGAAATTATGTTATTTCTATATTATACGCAATGAAGATTATATCGAGTGAATTTTTACTGCTGATTTACACACACCAATGTGGTCGGTGTGTGTAGGAGTGTAAACGAGTCAAGCTCTTCGAGTATTGGCTTTTGGGGTTCGACGTTGAGCATGAGCTCATTTTGTGTATTTTTTTTATTCTTTCTATTCTAATGAATATTATTAGAATTTTATTATTATGAATAAAATATAAAAAATCGAAAGAAGAAAATGTCTTGTAATTTATTTTTTAATTATTTAAATGAATTTATTACTTCATTTATATTAATTATATTTGAAAAGAAAAAAAAATATATTAATTCAAATTAAAGAATTAAAACTCACGAGCCGGCTCCCGATCTCACGAACAATTAAGAATGAGTTGGAGCTCAACTCGTCTAGCTCGAAAAATTCAAGCTTTTGTCGAGCCGATTCACCAAGTTTACGAACCGCCTCAAATCACTTACACACTGGTAAAAAAAATTACTCGACGAATTTCACCCGATGTAGTACAGTACAAACACGGAATTACTCGTTTAATTACAAAACAAGGACCACTAGGTAATTAGATACATCCTCATAAAAGTTGAATACAAATTGTACAAAAATAAATCAATCGATTTTGTCTATCTAAATAGGTGCAATTTAACGGTACATCATCATTTCCACAATACATTATATTACGGACCAATTAATAGAGTGAGTATGGTGATATGACCATAACATGTGCAAAATCCATCCCAATTTAATTTTTTTTTTCTTTTGCCTCATTAATTCAAGTATGTGGACAAACACCAAACCTAACGTGTACCAAGTGCAATATTTAATTTTTTGTATTACATTGCATGTACCCCATTTCATTTATTATCATATATTCA